CCCCAAAACCCCAAAACCCCAAAACCCCATTATAAAATTTAATGTTGAAAAATGGAATTACGATGGATCTAAAGACTCTTGAACTCTCTCTATTTTATCAAAGTCAGTCATTACATATAGTTAACATCAGGGACAACATTTACTGTATTCTCATTTATTTAGAGCCCTTTGTTGAAATAAATAAGAGGGGTAAAAATGGAAACGACTATAGAATCTTTCGCATAAAAATATTTGATGTAATTTTGTTCCTAATTTGTAAACTCCTTCGAGTAGTTTGTCTTATATTTGAAAAAATATAGTTTTAAACACATTCATGAGGGTACCTTGGGGACATAATGATTTTAGAAGAGACATTCTTAAATTTATTTCTCTCTTCTATTATTACTTATCCTCGTTTGATATTAGACTGAGTAATCGAATAAATCTACTTTGAGGGTATCTTTCTTGAGGATTCTCATAAAAAGTTCAAACTTTCGTACAGATCTTGAAGCTCTGAAACATTTTTTGTACTCTTCAGAGGTTCTAAAGAACAGTAATCTCTATCAGTGAAAGTTCTTGACTTTAAATTATTGCAATTCAGAGTATTTTTCATTTGAAGAGTGCAGATACAGGAATTTATGAAGATATATTAACCTCTCTGAAGCTTAGGACTAGTTTAAAAATAAGAGATACTTTGCTAGACCTATTCTATAACTTTTAAGTGCTGTCGACTACAATTTTAGATTATTTTTCAAAAGTAATTTGGAGCACTACTGAGATGAGCAAAAATTAAAAGATGTCTCACCAATTTAATAGTTTTTATAACGAAAAGGCTTTTATATATGCTCTCTCGATTGCATTTTCCCTCATCCTTCATAATTAATAGCAAGTTTCAGGCTGAAGTATTCTAAATTTTGTAACGAATTTCTGTTCGAAGTGTCTATATGAAGTCAGGATAAAAACATGTAGAATGCTAAGAAATTCTCCATTGTATGGAAGATCCCCTAGGATGGTTTTTTGACTTATTAAATTCTAATATAATAAAGCTCAAAGATGCTGTCAGTTTAATAAAGACAGCTTTGGCATCTCATGAAAATACGATAAATTGTTCGTCTTCTAAGTGACAAATGGTCTTTAAAGAACTCTAAATTATTTACAGCCTGTGAGAAATATCTAGAGTCTGGACCAACTAAATTTCAAAGAAGTTCATGAGTAAAGCCCACTAGAGAGAATATTTATCTATCAAGCTTTATGAATTTTGTTCTTGGATTTTCTCTTGAAAACTCTTCATTTAAGATCGATTCTGAGTATTCATAATATCCAAAATTTGAATTAAGTGATCCGACCAGATTTTCATAAAGTTTTATATACTTGAGATAAATTCATGACTTTATGTCTTAAATTTGAACTCTTTTGGACGAGGTTAAGAGAGTTCAAGATTTGGTGCATATTCTCATGACAAATATACAATTTAGAGTTATTTTATTAACTATAGCTTTTTATTGAAATTCATGCTGATCTAGAACATAATCATGCCAAACATTGATTTTTTGAGAGTAATTTAGGCTAGCCTTAGTTCTAGGAAAATAGGTCTTTATTTTCCTTTTTTAGGAGAAAATTCATTAATTAAGTGTTGCTGAGAAAGAAAGACTAAGAAGATATATAAGGAACTATCACCTGTTTAAAATCTCTAAACAGCCTTACTGAGGTTGATAAACTTTCGAGTAATGTTCATATGTTCAATATTTTTGTCACTCAAAATCTTACAATACTAACACTGCCTCTGGTGTCTTTCAATCAGCAAGTTCCAAAGACCAGATAGTTTATCTGGGTAGTATATCAAAGACTGATCTTGTTAGCAAGAAAGAAAAGGATTTTTACTTTAGTATTCTCACAAAGTTCGTATTTTCTCATTATTAATGTTTTTTTCGGTCTCAAGAACTAGACCATGCTTTTTAAGCCAAACTTGCTTACTAGCATTTGGAAGAGAATTTAATATTTAGAAATAGGATTTTCTTAAACGGAATTAAAAATTCCCGTTCTTCAACTAGTTAGTACCAAAAAGCCAACATGAAGTGAAAAGATCTTTACTAAGTTTGAAATGGTTTTCTGATGAAGATATTTAAGCAGTAGTTTAATTTAACACAACTGGTGGTTCATGATTATTTCAGACTCACTGCCCCAGTCCTCATGCTAGATACTTATTGGGGAGACCTTCAAGTGGCTGTCCTACTTAGAAGTTCTGTTAATGAAGACTTGTCCTAACACTTTTTGAGCAATTCATTTTTGAACAAAAGCTTCCATTCAGTTTGTAAGGTCTTAGTCTTCTTGAAAAGACAGATGACAACTGTAAATTGATGTCAACAGGCTGAGGGTGAGTTTTAAAGCTGATTATTCCAGGTTTATATCAAAAACTTTTCATTTAAAATTTTTTGCGGCTAAATGAGAATTTAGGGAGTTGACAAAATTTTTAGGTTAAAGTCGCCTATTTCATCTCTGAAATAAACAGTTAAAAAGTATAGAATGAGTTTAATAATTTCTCAAAGGGAGAAAAATATTGACGGCTTTTCCATTTTCACAATAGTATAATTTTTTACCATTAGAGCCAGATCTTGAAAGATGTGGAAAATTCTTGCTGTTAAAAAATTCAACCTGAGAAGATAGCACATACTCTAATTCTAGGGTCCATTGAAATTTTATGATAAAATTTAATGATATTAATATTTCCAAAAATAAAGAAGTCTTTGAATTTTCATAATGATCCTGGAATTTTGATGGCTCATTTCTTCATAATTTTTCACAAGGCTACAAACAGTTTCAGAAAAGGAACGAAATTTGTCCAATCTTGCTCTCCTTCCGAAGAAATTTGGGAATGATACACTCTCCAAATTGGCCTAACGTGTCATCGCAAACTCAATGAGCTTACTATTTTCTCTTAATTTTTATATCGTACTCTAACAGTGATATTATGTTAAACCAAATTTGAGCAAATTCTATTCAACAAGTTTGGGGTAATATTTTAAGATTAAGGGAACATTATAATGATTTCTCTCCGTAAGGTCCTACCACAGACAAGACCTCCAGAAATTTATTAAAGATAATGACAATGGATCATGCTTAATTCTCAGACAGCAAATTGCTCCTGAAGGTGCCCAGGCTTAAGCTTTCTGAATCTGAAGAATCACTTAGGCTGTAAATGTTGCTGAAGTCAGCTTCGCTGCCTTCAGCTTCACAATCGCTCTTGTTGTAGGTTTGTTTTCTTCTGAAAGCAAAGAGAGGCTCTGGATTTTTTAAAAATACACCAGGAGGTGGTTTTACACCTTCTGAACCAGAGCAGAGAGGGTTAATGGTCTCATAAAACTCTTTGAGCTTTCCTTTTTCATTGATCAACTTTGAGGAGGTGTTAAAGTTTGAAGTACAGATTGAATGCTCTAGATAATCATTTGAGAATGTTTTCATCAAAAGCAAGTAATTAATTTATGAAAACCAAGAAAGAAATACTTACTCTGGGTACACTCGTCTTCCACTCTAAGGTCGTCATCATAGAAGAAGGAATCATTCTCTAATGTAGAGGTGATTTGTTTGTCAGATAAGGAAAGTTTCTCTGACTGCGTTTCTTCTTTATTAATTTGGTTAGAGACTAGCATCTTGATAGGGCTGGCTGACATTAGTGGTTCAATATATTATTAATAACAATTCTATACTTAAACTCAAAGGAGGGGTTTTGGGGTTTTGGGGTTTTGGGG